GGGGGGTAGGTGTGTAATTTGTCATTTGCACAAGTGATTGTTAAGGACAAGTGGCCTTTAAAGCAGGTTCGACTGTATTTGGAGCTCTGGACCATAATATGTTTTCAGTTGTGTACGCAGAAAAATTTATTCTTTACAAAATGTTACCTTCAGATGCATGGTGAACAATGTTTGACTAAACATGAGTTAAGATTCCGCTGCTCTTGTGCCAGAAGGAAAAAAAGGGAAATAAATATTTGAGGAATTGAGCCCTCAGAAGTTTTAGAGCCAAGATCTATTCAAAGTGATATACAGCGGAATACCTTCTTGGTGTCTGCTTAAACTATAATAAGTTGGACCGCCAGATTTTCTTTGATTTAGCCAGGTTTTCAGTTTTTATGTTTGGCAGTATAAGCGGCTTCTACTGTTAATTCCCCTTTGCTATTAAGTGAACTAAGGAATTGAGGTCGGTTCAGAGTGGAAGAGAATGTAAAGTGGAAACAAATTAAACAAGTTTGAATATAATCACTCAGACTATTGCTGTGGTTAGAATACTAAACACAATGTGTGGGAGGTTGGTGGGTGCTCTAGTGTGGTTTGCTCCTTTTCTGCTATCAATCATCTATCTTCCTCATCTCTCCCCCTTCTAGTTTTGTGTTTGTTACTCCTTTATAATACCTCTGATCTTGGGTACTTATATGACCTAATTGTGTTGCAAGTGCCATAAAACACTTACTAAAACTAAATAAAACAGAATGTAACCAAAAGGTTTATGGAAAGGGCTTGTCAAAAAAAGAACTCTGCCGCCGAGCATAGCGTTTTCATTCCAGGAAGAGTTTTGAATCTGGACTAGGCTGTTATGTGCCAACACAACTGCTTGGTTGATGTTTTGATTGCGGTTTCTTTGCGGATTGCTGATTTTTATTAGAGGCCTAGATGTTCTTTGGAGTTACAAGAATACGTGGAGGTGACACAAGGATCTAATTTCTCTCATTATCTGCTTGAATTCACCATACCTCACTTGAAATAAATAATCTCTCAGTTGAAATTGACCGCATGCTTTTCTACACAAATTTATGAAAATGCATTTGAGACTGGAGGTTTATATGCAAGCACTCCACACTTCCGTGAACCAAGTCCACTGCTTTTCGTATGTATGAAGTTTTCTCAATAGACAAGTACACATGTAAACTTTCCCGTCTACAGCAGATGAAGGAAATGTAAATTCTCAGAGCTCGGATTGGATTCGCCCCAGGCTATGACCAGTTTCTGTGTTGTAGTTAACTGACATAGGAGACGCAAGTTGGATTTCTAAGTGGAGAGAATTTTTTTTCGCAGAGTATCTGGCTGTTTGTGCTGGGATGCTGAATCCCTCTCAGCCCAGGTTAGCTCAGACAAGCAGGATCAATATCTGCCTCCCAAAGGATCTAAATTGTGCCAATGGGGACGTTAAAATACCTACGTTAAAAGTTTTTGGGGGTTTTCTTGTTCCGAACAGCTGAGGCTATGTGAAAAAAGAGAAGAAAAAAAAGGTAGCTCAAAATGTCCTTTTGTACAATTTCTTTGCCTTTTGTACTTATGAACTTGTGCATGTCGGTAAATATTTCCACAGCACGTTTGTTAGGTTTAATAATATGTGCGTTGAAGTAACATCTCTGATATCGTGTTTGCTCACAATAGTTTAAGAAGAAAAAAAAGCATCCTCCCAAAATATTACTTAGGGCTTAAGAAAAATTAAACCTATTTTGAACGCTGCATGAAGAAAGTTCATAATGAGAAAACAAAAGATGGTCATCAATTTAAAACTGCTTGCCCTTGAAACTGCTGCATGTTAACCTCTCACCTGCCTGCGTTGTCGTGTGGATTGGACTGGACTGATATATGCGCTCGTCTCAGTCTCGCACGGAATGTCTTCTCGGTCTCACATGGAATGGCTTCTCGTGGAAATAACTTTGAAAAAAAAATCAAAACAAAACAAAAAAATACACCTGAGAAATTCACGGATGTTCTTCCTCTCCTGATACTGCGGTGTGAGCTCAGATGTTGGACCAGTTCATTGACCCAGATGTCAAGAGGATAGAGGTGGACATGAAGCAGCTGACATTTGCTGGCCGCGGGATTTCTTCACTACCGCTGCTGTGTCTGAAGCTCAAGTTTTACAAGAATATCATCTACGGATAGAAGTAAGTCGCGTGTATCGGGAGGCGAAGTAGGTGACTGTGAGGTCGACTGAGGCGTGTCATAAAGGGAAGTAAGTCACAGCGTGAGACGAACTTAGAGTAAGTCACGTCTTGTGGCGAAGTAGGTCACTTTGTTAGATCGACTGAGGCATGTCATAAGTGGAGGAAAGTTGTGCAGTGAGGGGAAGTAGGTGACCTTGTGAGGTCAACTGAGGCGTGTCGTAAGGGGAACTAAGTCACACAATGACAGGAAGTATATGTGGCGTCGTGAGGCCGGCTGAGACATGTCATTAGTGGAAATAAGTTGGGCAGTGAGGGGAGGTAAAAGTAGGTCACATTGTAAGGTCGGCTGAAGCATGTGTGGTGAGGTGAAATAAAAGTCATGTTGTGAGGGGAAGGGAAGTAAGTAATGTTGTGGCAGATAGATGACCTTGTGCCGTAATTGCAAGCGTCGTAAAACTCTTTACCAGTCATGCCATAGAGAAGTAAGTCATGTTATGAGGTCGACTGAGGTTTGTCATGAGGTTTAATAAGTCATGCATTGAGGGGAAGTAATTTATGTTGTGCGATCAACTGAGGCTTGTCTTGAGGTGACAAAAGTCGCATTGCAAGGCGAAGGAATGCTGAGTACTTCACTTGAAGTTAGTAGCAAATGTATGGCTTTGTGGTGAAATCAGACACTTGTAAAAAGAAATGTCAAAGAAACCTACATTTTTCAGCCTATTGGGCAATTTATATCAAATAACTTTTTTGTTGCTTAGTAACTTTAGAGTGGGTGGTTGGCGGGTGCTCTTCTGTGGTTTGCTTCTTCTTTCCTATCGAACATCTATCGTCTTTATCTCCCCCTCTTTCATTTTTATGTTTGTTACTCTCTTGTGACACCTCTAATCTTCGGCACTTATATGAGCTTATTGTGTTGCAAGTGCCGTAAAACCCCTACTAAAACTAAAGAGTCCTTTAAAAAACAGATCTCTCTGAATTTTACCCGCAAACATTCATCAAAGGTACCCAAAAATGTGATGATGACTCAAAAATGTAAATTTGCAGTTTCCTAGTACTCTTAAGCTTTGAAAGTCTCAAAACTTTCACAGCCATTTTCTCGCTTATTTGACCTATGGAATCTATTGTAGAATATCCTGGTCTTTTCCTGTCATCTGTTCAAGTTCTCAAACTCACTCTAAGTATGCTGTTCTTGGTCTGTTTTGTCTCTTTTGTTTGATAGTGGCGTCGGTGGCCTTGTGGTTAGTCTCTGGGACTCGCAACCATTAGGTCATGGGTTCGAATCCCGCCAGGGGCCCTACGTTGTTTCCTTGGGAAAGGCACTTTACACGAATTTTCCTCACTTCACCCAGGTGGGAATGGGTACCCGGCTATAGATAGCGAAAGATCTTGTCAGTTTGTTAGTGTTTGAGCGCTTAATCAGCTGCTTGCACTGTATGCTTCCCGGGAAGCTGAGAATGTTTCGGAGTGTTCTGTGGTCTGCTGGGGTAATAATATAGTGTAAAGCGCATAGAGCCTGCAGTTGAGCGGGGATATGCGCTATACAAATGCTATTTATTATTATTATTATTATTATTATTATTATATTTTTTCAGTTAGAGACACAGATGTACATGGCATTAAAAATCCACAAACTCAACCAAAGGTTTTTGGATCTCTTTTTCTTGTCACCTCCTTTACAACGCAACGAAACCCAGCCAATTTTAATCTTATGTTTTCTCTCGCTTCTCCCCTTGTATGTGGATGGTTGGCAGGTCTTCCGATGTGGTTTGCTCCTTCTTTCCTACAACATCTGTCGACCTTATCTTTCCTCCTTCTTTTATGTGTTTGTTACTCTCTTGTAACACCCTCTAATCTTCCGCACTTCTATGACCCTTATTGTGTTTCCAGTGCCGTAAAACCTGTACTGAAACTAAACTAAAAACTTTTTCTAAAAAAAATACTACTTTCTCTCGTGTCTCTCCTCTCATGTGGTGGGTTGACGGGTGCTCTGGTGTGGTTTGCTCCTTCTTTCTTGTTAAAGTCCATCGTCTTTATATTTCTTCCTTCTTTTATGCATTTGCTACTCACTCGTAACTCCCTCTAGTCTTCGGCACTTCTATGACATAATTTTGTTGTTGCAAGTGCCGTAAAACGCTTACTAAAACTAAACTAAAAACTCTTTTTTAAAAAAATGCTTTCTCTCTTGTCTCTCCTCTCATATTTGGTCAGTTGGTGGGTGCTCTGGTGTGGTTTGCTCCTTTTTTCCTGTCAAAAGTCTATCATCCTTATCTTTCTGTCTTCTTTTATGTGTTTGTTACTTTCTCGTAACAGTAACACCCTCGAATCTTCAGCACTTCTAAGACCTAATTGTGTTTGTGCAAGTGTCGTAAAACGCTTACTAAAAATAATCTCCCCTCGTTCTACAGACTCTGGACGAGAAGATCCTGTGGCCCCGACACCACGTACAGCTGACGGAGCTGGCCAAGGTCGGGGGATCCATCGGCAGTCAGGCCATCCTCATCACACGCACCAGGCACCCCAAGAGAATCATCAGCAACATCCAGGACGAGGACCTCGGGTACTTCACCATGTGGAAACGTTCCGAGTCGTAGGCTCATAATCTCTATATTATCATTGTTTTGTGGAGTTTTAGGATTTTATAAAGGGGACAGAGAGTCGCAGTCTCATGATCATTGTATCTGTTTTGTGTGGGTTTTAGAAAGGGCTCGGTGTCATAAGCCTCATCATCATTTTAACATTGTTTTTTCGATTTTAGAAAAAGGATGGCAGAGTCATAGGCTCATAATCATTGTGGTCATTTTTTAATGGATTTTAGAAAGACTTCAGAGTTATAAGCCTCGCAATCATTTTAACATTGTTTTATGGGTTTTAGACTGGGGATGACAAACGATATAGGCTCATGATTCTCTTAGCATTATTTTATCCATTTTGGAATGGGCACAGAGTCGTAGACTCATGGTCATTGTATAATTGTTATTGTTCTGTGAATTTTAAAAAGGGGACAGAACCGTATTCTTTTGATCATCTTAGCTTTTTTTTTTCAGTGAGTCGTGAATGGGTTAATACAAGTTCTCCTGTAGCATCTTTTTTATATTTCAAAACATGCACAGCCTTAACCATGAATGTTTGAGGAAAGAAGGATTTGTTTACTTTTGTTTTTACTCATTTTGATTTCCAACTGTTTTTTGTTTTCTTTTGTTCTTGAAGTTAGTCAGGAATAAAGACATGTCTGTCCACATGAAATGTTCTCTTGTTTTGTGTGTGAACAGCCACTGTTGTGGTAGGTCCTTGCGATTGAACGTTGCTTTGAAAATGTTTTCTAAAAATTTATTTTGTTTTAAAATTCCAATTTTATCTTCCGATATATTCCAGACTAAATTCCTGTAGTTGCCACTTTCTGTATAACTTTGTTTATTTCAAAAGCAGCCGTGATTTTCACATCTTAAGACATTTTCTGTAGTTTACTGTGACATTCATTTTCCCCTGCAAAGTCTGGGTTTTTGCTGAAAGTTGGGACATTTTGGGGATAGTATATCAGATGCTAGCGAAAAAGAAATGTTTCTTACAGAAGCTTGTTGAGTAAAAAGAAAAGTCTGTCTTTGGCAGGGAATTGTAATTTGTTTGAACGTGCCCTCCTATCTTTCACAAATTCATCTTCAGCCAAGAAGATCTTCCCCCCCCCCCCCCTTCCGTACTACTGCAGCATATCAAAGCTTTGTTCCGTTGTTCTCTGATGAACCACTGTGAAAACTATCAACCACTTTTTATGGAGCTTGTCTTAACGGTCTAGATGTATGTATATATTTAGGTTTATCCGGATTAAATATTTTTATAAAATAGTGCTCGCTACGTGCGTGAAAGGGAGTGAGATGGATTCTCTCTTAATACTCTCAGGCGTAAATTTTTTGCTGGCTGTCTTTAGCGTAGATGTCATATTTAACCTGGTGCTCCAGTTCTTAGCTTGCTACCCGTTATTGTCAGCATAGAAAAGTCATATTGCTGTAGATGTTCTCAGCTCCTATGGTTTCATATGTTTGTCAATTTTTGTCATGGTTTTCTTCGAGATGGAAAATAATGTGTAATGGTGATGCAGTTTCTCTATAATGTAGAAGTCGAGTAGACTATGCCATATTTGATCCGGTACTTCAGAGATTCATCAATAGTTCAAGCAGCAATAAATTCCATGTCATTAATTAGATCTGTGTCTCTTTCTTTGTATTAGTCTGTACCTTGTTACCAGTTTACAGTCAATGCATTGATCTGTCACCGTTTTTTTATGCGTACATATTGATTTATGAATTGGCACTTTTTACGCATAAAAACCTGCCATTGATTATGGTAGGCGATTACATGTATGGTTGTAATGATTTCTTTCAATAAATTATTTTCTTTTGTATGTGAATTTTTACAAGAGATTTTGAGTTTTTTTCCCCCCCCTTCATCATATCATGTTTGGGAGAGGGTTAATGTTTTTATAACAAGTCAAACACTTTTGCATTTTTAGCAGTAAATCTTTTCATCTTTTTCTAGTCTAAGATTTGGAACAGATGTCAATATGGTTACTCCCCCCCCCCCCCCCCCACACACACACCCCCCACACCTTTCCAGAGATTGTTCTTCATGTTTTAAGTATCCAAACCTGTTGTGTTTTTGTTTTTGTTTGCCTGGTTGTTTCTTTATGTACGGTGGTGTTCTGCTGTAGAGATTGTTCTGTCTAGAGCAGTCTTTGAACATGTCACAATGTTCTCACTGATGTACCGGCGCCAACAGTGTAGCATACCCAAACTTTCTACCTTTTCTTTGGATGTTCTGCACATTGTGATCATACATTTCTTACATTTCCTCCTTTCTTGCCCTTGTTATATTATTCATCAACCACTTTTCTTTCATTTCGTCACCCATGCGCTCATATGACCTTTTATGTAGTTGGGAGCGCTGTAAAACTCTCGCGAACCAATCACCCCATGTTGCACATTGTCAGTTCCTGAAGTGTTGTCATATTTCTCAAGGGATATTTACTTCTCTCACTTTACCACTGCGATTTCATCACTCCCAGTATATTATATCATGTATATTTGACCATAATGTTTTTTCTTTCGAGTCACTGTTTTATTGGAGATGTTTAGAGTAGTGGCTGCGGTGGCCTCTATTGTTGCATAGAGAGGGGAAACCTTGTGGCTGCTCTCTTTTTGTGGGGATTCTCTCTGTGAAATGTGTGACAGTAGTAGCTGGAAACAAGGTTTCTAATTCTGTCCACGAGACACATGACAGTGTGTAGTTTGTTATAGAAATTCTGTCCCTGAAATTTGCGACAGAGTGCGGTCATAAAGATTTTATTTATGAAATTCGTGACAGTGTGTGGCCATAAAATTTCTGTCTTTGAAACGTGACAGTGTTTAGTCATTTAGATTCTGTCTATAAAATAACTTGTGATAGAGTTTAGTCGTAAAGATTATATCTTTGAAGTTAATGATCTGGTTGAAGTCATAAAGATTCTATCTATGAAATAGGGATAGTGTTTGGTCTTAAGATTCTGTTAGTGAATGAAATATATGGCAATGTTTGCTCCTCACTCCTAATGCTGCCAGCAAAATCAATGTGATGACTTTTTTCAGGAGCTTATAATCAGAAGCTGGTGGGTGCAGAAAGGCAGAGGCTAGGAGGGCGTTGTAGTTGTAGGTTGTTGTATGTTTGGGACCAACGAAGTGTTGTGTATGTCTTCCAGCTGATGATACATATCCACTACAGAGGCTCTCAGTCCTCTTTCTCAGATCAAGCAGATTTGCCGAAGAAGGTATCGGTTGTTTAAAACACAAAAACACATTCTCAGCTCTGTCAGACTTGTCGAAGAAAGTATTGGTTTTTTAAGACACAGGGGCACATTCTCAGATCAGTGAGACTTCCTGAAGAAGGCATTGTGACTGTTTAAGACACAAAGATACCTTCTCAGCTCCGTCAGACTTGCAGAAGTTCTGGCTGGGATTGCTGACCTTGAGTGATGAGAGAGTTGGCAAGTCTGGTGTTTGTAAAGTAAAGCAGAAGGACAATCCCTGAGGATCTTAGTCTTAAGTAATGAGAGTCTGTACTAGATATAGATTTCTGCTTTTTACATCGTTAATTACTTCCGGTGCCAAAAGGTCATAGTCGTAGGCTTAGCAAAGCTGACAGTACTGACAGTTTTCTGTATCAACTGTTTGGAGCCTATCATTTATTTAATTTGTATGTAAAGCTGCTTGAGCACTTGCTTGTTAGCTTCGCTCCCTTGGTTTTATTTCACTTACTAGTGAATCCATGTTTTTTCTGGACGAGACGCTTGCTTTTTACTGTCCCTGACACAAAGTCTGCGCCGTGCTGAACAAAGGCTGTTGTTTCATTGTTGTGAGGGCTGGGTTCTCTGGTAGGTGTGAGAGCAAAGTCTTGGAGCAAATTGTGGTTAAAGTTTCTACTGGTGACCCATGACATGTGTCACATGAGATGTGTATTGGCAACGTTTGACAAGCATAACATGAGATGTGTACTGGTGACGTTTGACACGCATCGCATGAGGTGTGTACTGGTGATGTTTGACACACATAACATGAGGTGTGTACTGGTGACGTTTGACACACATAACATGAGGTGTGTTCTGGTGACATTTGACACGCATAACATGAGGTGTGTACTGGTGATGTTTGACACGCATAACATGAGGTGTGTACTGGTGATGTTTGACACGCATAACATGAGGTGTGTACTGGTGACGTTTGACATACGTGGCATGAGGTATGTACAGGCCTGAGATTGTCTACATGTAAACGACAGACTAGTGGTTGGTAACACATTCCAGCTAAGTTGTAGCTCCTGCTAGTTGCGCAATATTTAGCCTCCAATATAACGCTCAGCGTACCATGTTTATTGTCATGTATGTTGAGACTTATGTTCCTAAAGTATGTACAGTCTGCGTCATATCGTTTTGCTTACATTTACAAAACGGTATTACCGAGTGGGTTGTGGGATTGTACCTCGCATTGTTATATAATCTTTCTCAATTATTTGTCAGGTTGTTTTGTCTGAGTTGAAGTGGTGTGCTGTCTCGTAAAGTTAATCAATTAGCGTAAGGCTCCGCCGCTTTGAAAAGTGACTCACTAAGAGTTTGTAATAGAATCTCTAGTTTATACTGTTGTCGTGTGCTGAATTGATGTTGTTGTCGTGTATCAAAAGGAAAAAGGCTTTTTGGAGAGATACCTTTTGTTGGGAGAAATCTTTTTTCTCTCACAATTATTTGTTTTGACAATTTCTGCACTCAACGCTTTTTCTTATATATGTATATATTGGTACCAATTATTGTTAGTATGTCTCAGAACTTTTGAGCATTTGTTAAGAATTATGTTGAGATTTATGATTTTATAAGGTCTTTTTTTTTCTCCATGTCTCACAGTCTGTCATTGGGTGGTTGTAGCATCTCTACCTGCAGTCTGAGTTCTTTGTGTTCTTGAGGTGTGTACTTTTCATTAGCTATCAGTTGTTGAGATTTGTACTTTTCACGAACGGTCTATTTTTGAGGTGTGTAGGTTTTTTTTTAGCAGTCTGTTGTTGACCCGCTTCTCATTACTCTTCATTTCTGAGGTATGTACTTTTCATTATTATAAGCGTGTATGTGTTTAAGGTGTGTACTTTTCATTAGCGATCTGTTCTTGAGATGTGTACTTTTTCCTTGGCGATAATGTATACTTTTCTTTAGCGGTTGGGTTGGTTCTTGAGGTCGCGTAATTTTTGGTTGACGGTGGTCATGACTTTACCTTGTTGTTGCACCCGCATCTCTTTGGCTGAGGGGTGACTTTGTTCCTTGCTCATTCTCACTCTGACTTCATGTGATGTCTTCTTTCCTGTGGTGAGCCTGTTACTTTTGTGATGTAGGTGCCTTAAGTCCTCAAGCTTCTGTTGTCTTTTCCCTCCCTTCTGCACTGTGTGCTTCTTTGTTGGCTGAGTCACACCTCATAGTCCATAGGTCAGTTGCCGATTTTTAAAATAAATCTGGCAACCATAAATCTGGAAACCCGGATATCCGGCTTTTATGGATGTCCGGATATCCAGATTTCGGAAATTTTCCTCTGATTGCATTTTATGAAAAAAATAGTCTTGATACATAGATTTACGAGTGAGTATGATCCATGAATTTTTTCCCTCTGTGGGCATTTATACAGAGTCAGAAAAGTGCAGGATGTGTTGTTTTTTTTTACATTCTTTTTTAAAATGAAATTGTTTGTGGCCAGTTAGCACTTCTCCTTTTAGATACATGGGTACAAACAAAGAGACAAGATTCTGAGAAATAATGAAGACAAAAAGAAAGAGTATACAAACTGTGCTTTTGTGACATTCTTGCAACTCAACATAATTATCTATTCTGTTTGTCATCTGCTTGTGCTTATTTTTGTTGGTTGTTGTTCTTATAGAAGCAATTTCTCTCTAGCACTTTGTGATGCTGATACTCGTTTCTATTTTGCAATGTTCATGCTACGATGATATGTTTTGTCTTGTAGGCATTTGTTCACCCACTTTTGATAATTAATGAGCATTTTTGTTTTTTGATTCTGCTTATATTGTAGTTAGTTGTTTTAGCCTTATTTACTTATGCGTACAAATTTGCTACTACTACTACTACTACTACTACTATTACTACTATTACTACTACTACTACTACTACTACTACTACTACTAGTGCTTCTAATGTGTCTGTCTATGTTCAATTTGTTTTTAATGAATAGAAATAAGATGTATTTATTGTAGTGTGAAGGTAGTGTGTAATGTAGACTGGGAACACAGGTGTAGGGAGATAAACAGATTTAGATAAAAATGATAATGGTAATACATTGTAATAAGAATGATAATAGTAAGAATAATAATACTGGTGATAATAATTATAATCATAGTAATGATAATAATGAAAATGATAATAGTAGTTTGTCCTTCATGAACTGATGATGACCTTTAACATCATGAGAAGAAAAGAAGTTGGAGACTTTGCTAGTTACCGCAGCTGGCTTACATGGTATAAAACACAGTCAAGGAAATGATTGGAAAGAACTTGGGTGTAATGGTCAGAGAGAGTATAGTAAGGAAATAGTAGCAAAGAACGTGCAGTTAAGATGAGAGAGAGTGCAGTGTACAGTAAAAGAAATAATGGCATGCAAGTTGTAATGTAATGGTCAGAGAGAGTACAGTAAAGGAAATCATTGCAAAGAACGTGTAGTAATAATCAGAGAGAGTACAGTAAAGGAAATCATTGCAAATAACATGTAGTAACGATTAGAGAGAGTACAGTAAAGGAAATCATTGCAAATAACATGTAGTAATGATTAGAGAGAGTACAGTTAAGGAAATCATTGCAAAGAACGTGTAGCAATAATCGGAGAGAGTACAGTAAAGGAGATCTTAGCAAAGAGCGTGTAGTAATAATCAGAGAGAGTACAGTATTGGAAATCATTGCAAAGAATGTGTAGTAATAATCGGAGAGAGTACAGTAAAGGAAATCATAGCAAAGAACGTGTAGTAAAGATTAGAGAGAGTACAGTAAAGGAAATCATAGCAAAGAACGTGTAGTAAAGATTAGAGAGAGTACAGTCAAGGAAATACATATATAAGCATGCAACTCGTAATCATCACAAATGCCACATCTCGCCAAAGCAGAGCCTTTCCCCCTTCCTTAAAGTAGTGCGCTTATTATCTGCATCAACTTGTTAAAATAGTTGCTTCTAATCTGAGTGCCGGTACTAACAGTAACACGTATGGTTCTGGTTCATCTTCTTTGACAATACTTGATTGAATTGAATCCTTCCAAGGGGGTGCAGTGCAGTACAGTAATGCAAAAGGATTTCTCAGAAGGCTGTAGATATGTCTCTGTAGCTGCTTTGCAAAATGTCGTTATTTTGCTGCAGTTTTTGGTAGTTCAAGGGAGCTCGACAATGTGTAACTTGTTTTTTATTCTGCTGATGCTGTTGGTATTAAAGCAACTTTTTAACAATGTAAATTAAATAAATATATTATATACATTAATAAATATATTATATTTAATACGTTTTTAAATTCAGTTTTGGGAAGAAAGTTTAATTCAACAGTCAAATTTGCGGGCTTGGTTATTTTACTATACGTGCCAATCTAGATTTTCTGTAGCCGCGCTCTAACTAGATGTGTTACATATTGTTTAACCTTGTGATCAGCCAGTGCAAGAGTGCATTATCTGTTGTCAGGAGTGAGGGGGTGATCCTCCACCTCCGCAGATATTACGTTGTTGTTGTCAGCCATTCTAGCTCAAATCTGTGAACTCAGCGCTAGCCTCCACCCCCTCCCCCCACCTCTCCCATTGTGTATATATATATAGTGCACCTCATGCTAGCCGGAGCCTGCATTTCTCCTCCTTCCAAGTAAGCGTCACGGCCGTGTCATGCTCTAACTGTGTAGCCGGGAAGTAAAAAATAAAAGTAGGTCAGTTAAAAGGTCTATCTATCTGTGACCTTGAGGTAATTTCGACAAAAATGCAAAAACTAAAAAGCCTAACAAAAGAAACTTGCCAAAAAATGTTTAACTGAATTGGACTTGGCCATGATGGTACTTCAGTGAGTTTGAGTAATTTGTAAAGGCCATAACTCTTGATTTCAAGCCACCCAGTCATTTTGTTGAAATGCTTTGTTTTGCCGTCTCTGCGACACATGTGGTCGTACCAAGAGCTCTGATTTTATTATCATGTGACAGATCCCCTTTTTATCCGTCACTACTTAACTTGTTTTTTGTTTTTAGGTTGTTGTTTGTTTTTTTTTATTTAAAAAAAAAATAATTGACAAAGTGGCTCTGCTGTTGGTCTTTAAAAAATCTGGAGTCAGAATACATTATAAATAATAGTACTACTGTGGGCTAACGCTTTTATTTTTTTTCATCGTTTTAGATCAGAACTCTCTTTTTTTTTTCCTTAAGGTTCCAGATCCCGGATCCGCGGTTAGAGCATAACACTACAGTCTGAATAAACGGTTTTCTCGGCACTGTCTCTGGTGTCAGATTTGAATCAACGACCTTTGTGTGACTATTTGTGTGTACACTAGAGGAGAAAAGTTTTCCGTTTCCAATCTACAATAAAGCAAGTAATATTCTTTTACATCAGTTGTGTTCTCTTTTCTCCTTCAGCGTTTGTCCTAGATAGTTGGTTGATGAGTTTGTGTGATTCGCTCCTTCTTTCAAATTCGTATCAGACATCTATCGAGCTCATCTCCTCTCCTTTTGTATGTTACTTTCTACTAACACCTCTGATCTTTGTCACTTATATGACCTTATCTATGCTATAAAACTCTCACTACTACTGCAGGTGTTTGGAGGACGTCCCTGGTATGTCCTAATTCTATATTGTCCATCTGTTGTTTCTGTCTTTTTGTCTAAGTGAGTGGTTGGCTCCTTCTTTCCTATCAAACATCTATCGTCCTTATCTCTTCACCTTTTTGTGCGTGTTACTATCTTGTAAAACGTCTATTTTTTGGCACTTATATGACCGTATTGTGTTACACGTGCCGTAAAATTACTAAAGCTAACACTGTCTGTCTTACTTTTCCCCTGCAGTTATAGTTATAATAATAATAGTAATAATAATATTAATAAATAGCATTTGTATAGCGCATATCCCCGCTCAACAGCAGGCTCTATGCGCTTTACACTATATTATTACAGTGTGTCGATGTGCTTCTCTTTACTAAAAAACAAAAAACCCCAGAATTTAGACCATTTCACTGATGAAGTCACTCACATACTTGGGTCCTAAACGATGTACATGTACTCTATTTACCAACAAGGTCACTTACAACTTTATGGGTGGTTGACGGGAGCTCTGGTGTGGTTTGATTCTTCTTTCCTATCAAACATCTTATCTCCCCTCCTTCTTTTTTGTGTTTGTTTCTCTCTTGTAAAACCTCTAATCTTAAGCATTTATATGACCTTATTGTGTTGCAAATGCCGTAAAACACTTACGAAAACTAAACGTATCCTCGCTATCCCCCCTCCATTTTGTGCTTGTTGCTCTCTTGAAACACCTCCTATCTTCGGCACCCATAGAACCTTATCCTGTTGTGTTGCAAGTGCCATAAAACTCTTACTAATAATAATAATAATAATAATAATAATAAACAACTTAGAACTTCTACAATTGAGATGAGTTTTATTGATGTTTCGATATATGTACATGAGAAACAATGCAATAAATACAGTAATAATACTGATCGGCTCAACACATCATGACTAAGAAGAACACGAAAATATCTCCAAAATGCACACTAAGAAACCCTTCCACCCCACCCCACCCCCTCCCACCACATTAAAAGAAAAACAAACTCCCAAAAATCACCCAAAATACAAATCAATACAAAAATAAGAGGAAACAACCCCCCCCCAAAAAAAAACAACAACAAACAACAACCTTAATATTAATTTATAACTCTTAAAATGATAAACATTGCGAAGAGTTACACACTCTCAAAAAAATGACATGTTTTTACAATAATATAAATGATTTTCCAATTTTTCCCGCGCTTCTGTCGGTATCGTCTGCCCCCCCTCACTGCACTTCCGGCATGCTGGCGTTGAGGCTACGGTCCCGGATGAGGCTCATGCGTGTGGGTTTGTTGACGCGGCTAGTGATCACATCCATCTCCTCGGGGGTCACCTACATACACATACAGGGATGGAGGGAGGGAGGGATACATGATATTTTGGAACAGGGTAAACCGGTG